TAGTGCCTAAGGCACTTGACTGCTAACCAGAAGGCTGGCAGTTCAAACCCACCAGCCACTCCTCGGAAGGAAGGTTGGGCAATCTACTTCCGTAGTGATATCGCTTCGGAAACCCAAGGAAGGGGTCGCTATGAGTTGGGTCTGACTCAATATCACATAACAACAACAATAACAACAACAACAAGATGTCTAGGATATATGTAAGAGAAAGGATCAAGTTTCAAAACACCATGTATGGTAGAGCCCATTTTTGTAAAAAATAAAACATTCAAAATGTGTGTGTACGTTGATACATAGAAAAACACCTGCAGGAATGTACTCTGTAATGTTAACATTAGTTATATCTGGGTGGTTTACTGGTAATTTTCATTTCCTTCTTAGTACTCTATATATTGTGTGAAGTTGTAAGAGAAATAAGCACTTTTTTATAATAAAAAAATTAAACTCTTTTTTTGGAGAGAAATATGCCTACTAGCACTTACATTGTATTTAAAAACCATCAGCAGTTGAAAGGGCTGAGGTGTTTTCTTTAGTTAGTTGTTTATAAGACATAAATATAGTAAAGTTTTTGAGTTAAAAGAAATTATATTTAAAGGAACAAGATCTATAGAAGTACCACCAAATCGTCTATGAAAATCAGGGCCATGATGTGTTAGTGCACATGTCATATTGCATATCATAGGGCCATGATGTATTGGAGTGCTGTAAGTGTTGCTAGAGACACTTAGAAAACACATGATATGTATGACATTACACAGCTGGTTTACAGGCAGAACCAGTATAAAACTAATTCTAAAAGCCAGTACAGCGCTGTTGTACCACTCTGCCCTTTTAGGTGACATTTTCTAATTTCTAGAGAGGTACCCTTTAAGCCACATTCTAAATGTTGCTTCCTCTTTTTATTTTGATCTTCATGTAATGAATGCTTATGTACTTAATTTTTGAGCTCACTGGCAAAAGAGACCTATTACTTAAGAAAATTTTCATTGCGATATTTGTGGGTCCTGGTAGAGTAAAGTTTATATGTTTTTTACCTTTCTATGCAGGACAATTCACTAGGATTGCTGTGACTTTTAGTGTTTAAACTAACTCTTCTCTTTTCTTTAAAGCTGGCCAAGTTCCGCAGCCTCCTGTGTACAGCTGAGGGTGAGGCAGCAGTGTTTTTGTTGAGCAATCACCGTCCACCGCAGCCTCTCAAGGGCCGCAGAGTGAGAGCCTCCTTTCACTAAGTGTTGTCCCCATTGGAATTCCCAAACACGACTGTGCAGAGACAACATAAAACACAACATAATACAACACAACACCCCTACTAACAGTTTTTCCCTAGAGTCTTAACCGATGGGGTAACATTTTGCTATCACCTTAGCACCATGAAGAAAACAGATCTCTTTAATCAAACTTTGCTCTTATGGATATTCAAGCAGTAAGAACTGTGTGATTTTTATCAAAACCTATGAAATACCACTACTTCTACCTGTGTGAAAACATGGCACACATTACAAACCTCAGCATGGATTGAAAATTTTACCTTGCTAGAGAGACTGAATCAGTCATATCTATCAGTAATGTCTGGCTAAAAACTTAATTTCCAGGATGTTGGGATTGTGTTACCTTTTTCTAAACAAATGACTCTGCTTAATGTTTTAATATGAGTCTAATTCACAAAAAGTAGGTAATATTTCCTTTTAAAGTGAATTTTATGATTATGTTGCTGATTCTAACTGCATGATACCTTTAATAAAGAGATCAATTGAGAAGGTTTTAAGGGAGTGAGATACAGCTTCTTAGTGGTCTATTCTGCAGTTCAAAAATAATACATACAGTATATGGTGAGGTAGTCCTCAAGATGTAAATGGCTATTAGTACTTTAATAAATTATGCCATGTATTGTATTCAGTCCATAATGTTAATAATGAACTGGATAATAATTGAAAGATTCAATATCTATGAACTTATAGAATTGACATGGTTTGAAAGATAACAGGTTACATGGTACCAGCCCAAGGAAACCTGCCCAGGGCATGGTGAATGAGTTTCCTAACTTTGTCTGGGAAAGAGTCCTATGAGGGTAATTATTCTGCCAATTGGGGAGGAATAAATTATTTCAGTCTCATTTAATTTATAGCTAAAGCAAAAGGAAATAAATTATTTCAGTCTCATATAAATATACTACCAGTCACCCATTAAACCTTTCAACCCATCACTATGTCAAAGCTTCTCTTTTCATGTTCTTGCAGTCTACATACTTCCTTTTAAATCATTTTGTAAGGTAGCTCTTGATATTTATTTTAACCTACTAGCACTTATTATTTTGTTTCTTTTGGTTTAGGATGAGCAGCAAGGATTCTTTTGCCCTTTCTGGTTAAAAAAAAAAAAAAAAGGCGTGACAGTCAGCATTAATGTGGTCTCCTGTCAACCTTATTTAAGACTTGAATACATGCCATATACTGCTATCATTTTCTGAGAGGAGTTTATCTGAGTTTCCTTGATTTTAATGATTATTTTCAGACACTTCTCTTCCTCTGGATATAGATTTCAGTAATTGAAATTATTCTGTAATATTTTGCTTGGTAGAATGACTAAGTATCATTAAATCGTGTGATAATGATGTGCAGTGGTGCACAATGTAAGCTCCTGGAGAGTAAAGCTGATATCTTGATCATTTTTTGTTTGACCCTCATGTTTGACTAGCATGAGGCTTTGTAGGGAATTGACAATTAGTAAATGCTTAATGAGCTGAATATTTTTGTTTAATTTTATTAGATAATATTTGATAATCTTCTCTCTACTTGAGATCAAATGCACTATAAGTAGTATAAAAATGAAACTAAATTATCATCCTTCGAAAATAGTTTCTTTCTAAAGGAATACTTATGAAACCTAATTCATGTAACCAGAAGCATAAATGGTTTTAAAAATACCAGTGCTGAATGAAAGGACATTTCTTTAATTTGGAAAGACTCACTGGGAACTATCCTAGTGAGGGAAAGGACCCTGTTTTTTTCAGAATATAAATTGCTATATTTGGAGGGGTGTGTAGGATGGGGATATGTATCTGAGTTACCATTTTGTAATCTATAGTTTTCTCTACAGTATTGAATCCATTCTATGCTACAAATTGCACGTTAGTGGGCTAAAAAAGTCTATACAGACCTGATTTTCTTGAAGATGTTTTGCTAATTTAAACTTCTTAGAGGCAAAATGTCTGTGTGTTAAAATTGTTATATTGCCTCTCTTAAAAAAAAGAATTGTAAATATTAGTATATTTCTATTTTGTTTCTCATAATATATATTGGATTTATGTTTGTAAAGCTTCTTGTATTTTAATTTAAAATGGATTCAACCACAATAAAGACAATGAGACACACTGTGAACCGTATCATGTCCTTGAATATGCAACACAAAGAATGAGATTATACATTTTTATACTCTTTAGAAAAAAATCCAAACTCACAGCAAAATTTCAGCAACAATATAAAGAACATTTTTTTTTCCTGCACTGTGAGAGGAAAGTTGCCAACCTGATGCCCCATCATTCTACAAACTTCAGTTGTGTATTTTGTACAATCTAGGACATTCTCCTAAACCATAACTCCACTAAAACAACCATGAGATTAACACTGCTTTATTATATCATCTAATCCCATAAGGAGCAACTCGTTCATTTAGTTGTCATGTCTCCTTCAGTCTGAAAGAAAGTGGGTACATTAAACTTCCTTGTTTCAAGTGGGTTTGCTTTCAAAACAAGTTCCTTTGGGTGGAGAGCAGTTAGTTTATCTTAGCTGTGCTCGTACAGTGAGAGTTGCAGAACTGCTCTGTGGGTTTATGTCTCAATAATATCAGCTGAACCATAACTCAGCATTACTAGGTTCCTCATGGAAAGTATGACCTAGAGTAAAATCTTACACAAAGAGTTTTTATTTTAACAGATACTTCTGGAACCAACAACCTCTTTGGAAGTTAACCTAAGCTGGTACTGGAAGGAGTTGGAGGTATAGGGAGCTTCTCTGAGGGGCCCAGATGTGAACACTTAAAAGATGTTATATCATTTAATTACATGCTACTGGCATTAAACAAACAAACAAACAAAATACAGCACAGTGTCAATCAGATACCATCAGGAGACAAAAACCACAGAATATTTCAAATGCTCTGCTGTCAAGTCAATTCTGACTCATAGCGATCCTGTAGGACAGAGTAGAATTTCCCCATAGGGTTTTCAGACTGTAAATCTTTATGGACGCATACTGTTTCATCTTTCTCCCACGGAGGGGCTGGTGCATTTGAACTGCTGAATGTTTTAACAACTGCACCTCCAGAACTCCTTTAGTATTTCAAATAATAATAATAATAATAATAAACCAAACTCACTGCTGTTGAGTCATTTTCCACTCATGGCGATCCCTCCTTGGATTTCTGAGGCTGTATCTCTAAGGAAGTAGATTGCTCCGAGGAGTGGCTGGTGGGTTTGAACCACCAGCCTTCTGGTTAGCAATCAAATACCTTAGGCACTATACCACCAGAGTGCCTAGTATTTCAAATAGAGGGGTTTAAATGCTGGGAATTGATTACACAGTAATGGAAGATGCTGAAAATCCAAACAGGACAATGCAAGTAAGCAACTGGCAAGAGCAGGAAGCTACCACCACCCTTAGGCTGAGGAACAAAAAGAGGCAATGTTATTGAAGCTCAGAGTACACAGTCACTCTGCTTATTTTGGAACGAGGAGCTGTTTTTTTCTTTCTTTCTTTTTTTTTTTTAGAGACACAGTCACTATCTGAGATCCTGCTTGACCTAGAAAGAGAGGGAGAAATACATATTCTGTGTTCCTCTTTCACATCACCCTCCAAACTCCCACTGCTATCCGCTGGTGGAACCTAACCAGAAGCTGGACAAGATGGAAATATAAGACATCATCCCCACTGTAATACAAAGCAGGGCAGGGGAAAATTTAGAAAAGGATCTGAGGGCAAAATGGACTTAAGATGGGTCAAGGCAGCAAGGGCTAGGGAACTCCATTGTGCAGGTCAGCAAAGGGCCTCATCTCAATGATTCCAGAGATAGAAGACCATTGCTACATTTCTCCCCATCACTGGAAACTTAACTACAATTTATTGGGCATATTCTAAGTGCTAAGTGCTGTGTTAGGTATTAGGAATGGAAAGATGATTAGTACATGGCTCCTGCACTTAAACAGTTCAGAATCTTCCAAGGCAGGCGTGAAAATTGCATCAATACAAAATGTTAAATATTTTAATTTGGGCTATCTATAGAGTACTGTAGGTATACAGAGAAGATGGAGAAATGATATCTGGAGAAATTAAGAGTCATGAAGGTTTATAAGTGTGTTATATTTGGAAATTTGATTTTCTATGTGATTTTGGACCTGGTTCCTGGTGGTAAGGACATTTATCAGTTAGGAATCCTTGATAGAAACTCCAACTCAAAATGGTTCAGTTAACAATGGTATTTTGTTGATTCACTTAATTGAAAAGTCCAGGGGTCCAACTGGTTTTCATCATGGCAGAAGCCAGGGACTCAGCTCAGGCCTCAGTTTCCCTTCTCCATCTCTGCTTCCATTCTGTGGGCTTTTTTAACAGTGAGACACCTCTTCATATTGGCAGAATATTACCTTCTGCCCATAGGAAGCCTCATCAGTGGAAAAAAGAAAGCTTTTTTCCCAGAACATGTCAAAAACATTTTTTTTTCCAGCTTGAATACTTATTGTCGTAGATCAGGTCTGATGCCCATCCTTAATCCAGCTGTTGTGGACAATGGATAGAATATGCTGATTATTTGGTTTAGGAGGCAGAATTGCTTCTGGAAGGAAGGAGGCTTCTTTTAAAACTGCATGAACTAAGAGTGGGGGAGGGGTGCAAGAAAAACTGGGGCTAGTACACAAAGAAAAGAAAAGAAAAATGAGATTGGATAGTAAAAACAGCAACTGTCCACTCAGGAGTGAAAGAGTGGCTGAATAGAGGCCGAGAAAGATCAAAACTCATGAGATCATGCAGACCTTCAAGGAAATAACCACCATCCATCTAAAGAGAATGAAGTTTCTCAAGATAAATGTAAGATCCATATTTCAATGAGGGCACAAGAACGTATTTTTTAAAATTTCTGCTAATTCTTTGATAATGTGGTAAATAGATACAAATTCCACAGTGATGGTGAAGGATAAGGATTGTCAGACCAAGGGATCTAACTTGTCATTTCATTACAGTGACTT